ATTTTATGATCTATTTTTACTTTATTGTATATTAGAGATTTAGCTTTTTACAAAGTTTTTCTTTTTAACATAAGCTATCATGTTATAGAAAATACTTTTACATTTAAATCTTTTTGTGCAATTTTTAATGTTTTCTTAGAAATATTTGTAGAAATAGGATGGCTAAAACAAAGATTATAGACATTATTAAGATTTATGATATATTTCTGACAAAATTCTCTTCAATAAGTACTATAGCAATTTATATTTCTAGCATCTGTTTGGAAAATGTTTACTTTTTTAACTAAATTTTATCATAAGTAAACAATTTGATATTTTAAAAGGCATCTCTGTTTTAATTGCATGTTTGCTCTTAGGTTAAAGTCTAAATATTTCTTGTTCATTGTTATTGCTATTCACATTATTGGACTTTTTTTTCTGTTGATAATTATTAAAAAAATCATTAGTGCATTTTATATTCTGAGGCTGAAATGATTTATTGTATATTACCAATCTTTTCTGTTATTTATCCTATAAATACAAGTTGATCATTGAGTTTTGTTGGTACTGTTTTTTTTAACTTTTGCCTTTAATCCTTCTCTCCTGTCTGATCAAAGGCAATGAGTATGTAGTACTATTACTACCTGCATGACAGGACATTTTAGTGACTGACCACATGGCAAAGAAAAGGGCAAGGGTTTTATTATTATATATATATTATCTCTGTATTCTCAGCGATTGAGCAAATGTTTTACATGTGTATAGTGCTCAGTAGGTTTAGAATTGGGACATTATGATCTCTGTTCTCTTACCCTTGCAAACACCTGCAAAACTGTACATGTTTTCACACAGTGCTTCAGCATGAAGAGCTATTTGCTATTTCCTGTATCCTGCTCAAGTGCTTTTGCAGTATTGTTTGTAGTTAAGAGCTAGGCTTATAAAAGCAGTTAAACTGCAGTTTGTTTCTACTGTGTGACTTTGAATAAAGCCTCAGATTTCCTCTCTGAATCAGAGGTCATTTATAGTATCTACCTTGTCGATGTGTTATGACTTAGGTGTCTGCTAAAAATGAAGTAAGCAAACACTTAGAACTTAATAAATGGCAGTTACCATTGCTAAAACTAACTAGTTGAATATTTCAGATGAAGCATAATATTTTAAATTTTATAATTTAAAGTATCACTCTTTGCATTTTTAGCTTGTCACATGTTTCTAAAGTTCTGTCTTTTTTTTTTTTTTGAGAGGTTTTTGCTATAGGGTGCGTGCACTCGCCAGACAGACAGAGACAGAGAGACAGAAAGCAAGAAATCACCCCCCGGGGGGATGGCCACACTACAATCCCTTCTCCTCCATTCTCCTCTTGGGATCTTGGGCAAGCATGCACACGCGCCTGGCGTCAGTTTAAGCCACTGGGTCCGGGACTCGAACCACAGTCGACTACGTGGGTGTCCAGCGACATAGTCATTATGCTAACTGTTGATTCCTAAAGTTCTGTCTTTAGAAAAAAATTTATGAACAGATTTTTAAGTCTTTAGAACCTATTTTAGGCAAATTACATAGAAACAATTGAAGAATATATTCTGAATGACTAATATGTTTCCATAGATATTAGAAAGAATAATAATAATAATGAATATTGTGCTTATTAAAATAAATTATATCAAACCAGGTAGGTCACTATACTTAAATAGTCAACAAATCCCTGTTATATAAAAATCTTTCCATTTCTATTACAGAATAAATTACTATATTTAGCTTGTATTAATTCTTGGAAACTTTTTATCCTATAAATACAAGTTGATCATTGAGTTTTGTTGGTACTGTTTTTTTTAACTTTTGCCTTTAATCCTTCTCTCCTGTCTGATCAAAGGCAATGAGTATGTAGTACTATTACTACCTGCATGACAGGACATTTTAGTGACTGACCACATGGCAAAGAAAAGGGCAAGGGTTTTATTATTATATATATATTATCTCTGTATTCTCAGCGATTGAGCAAATGTTTTACATGTGTATAGTGCTCAGTAGGTTTAGAATTGGGACATTATGATCTCTGTTCTCTTACCCTTGCAAACACCTGCAAAACTGTACATGTTTTCACACAGTGCTTCAGCATGAAGAGCTATTTGCTATTTCCTGTATCCTGCTCAAGTGCTTTTGCAGTATTGTTTGTAGTTAAGAGCTAGGCTTATAAAAGCAGTTAAACTGCAGTTTGTTTCTACTGTGTGACTTTGAATAAAGCCTCAGATTTCCTCTCTGAATCAGAGGTCGTTTATAGTATCTACCTTGTCGATGTGTTATGACTTAGGTGTCTGCTAAAAATGAAGTAAGCAAACACTTAGAACTTAATAAATGGCAGTTACCATTGCTAAAACTAACTAGTTGAATATTTCAGATGAAGCATAATATTTTAAATTTTATAATTTAAAGTATCACTCTTTGCATTTTTAGCTTGTCACATGTTTCTAAAGTTCTGTCTTTTTTTTTTTTTTGGGGGGTTTTTGCTTTAGGGTGCGTGCACTCGCCAGACAGACAGAGAGAGACAGAGAGATAGAAAGCGAGAAATCACCCCGGGGGTTTTTGCTTTAGGGTGCGTGCACTCGCCAGACAGACAGAGACAGAGAGACAGAAAGCAAGAAATCACCCCCCGGGGGGATGGCCACATTACAATCCCTTCTCCTCCATTCTCCTCTTGGGATCTTGGGCAAGCATGCACACGCGCCTGGCGTCAGTTTAAGCCACTGGGTCCGGGACTCGAACCACAGTCGACTACGTGGGTGTCCAGCGACATAGTCATTACGCTAACTGTTGATTCCTAAAGTTCTGTCTTTAGAAAAAAATTTATGAACAGATTTTTAAGTCTTTAGAACCTATTTTAGGCAAATTACATAGAAACAATTGAAGAATATATTCTGAATGACTAATATGTTTCCATAGATATTAGAAAGAATAATAATAATAATGAATATTGTGCTTATTAAAATAAATTATATCAAACCAGGTAGGTCACTATACTTAAATAGTCAACAAATCCCTGTTATATAAAAATCTTTCCATTTCTATTACAGAATAAATTACTATATTTAGCTTGTATTAATTCTTGGAAACTTTTTTTTTTTTTTTTGGAGAGATTTTTGCTATAGGGCACATGCGCTTGCCAGAAAGAGAGAGACAGAGAGATAGAAAGCAAGAAATCACCCCCAGGGAGGATGGCCATGCCGCAACCCCTTCTCCTCCATTCTTCTCTCAGGATCTTGGGCACACACACACAAGCGCCTGGTGTGAGTTTAAGCCACCGGGTCCAGGACTCGAACCACGATCAACTACATGGGAGTTCAGCGACATAGCCATTACACTAACTGCTGGTCACCATTTCTTGGAAACTATTTTTATCTTAATAAAACCCAATTAAAACATTTTCAATAGAAACAAATGACTGAAAACTTTAAAAAATCATTATATTGTATTAAATAGAAATATTATTAAAGAACAAGAGTAAGACTATCATTTTTATCGGTCAACAGTTGAGCTGTGTATTTATGGATGATTTGCCTATTTGAAACAATTATTAAATTGAGGCTCATTGTAAGTTTTCTCCACACTATAATTTTCTATCTCTTTAACACTATTGCTTTCTGAATATTTCCTATTGCTGAAACTTAATGCAAATATCTGGCAATATTTCTTATTGTTTGTGTCAATGTTTTAGCATCTGTCAAGTCCAGATGTACATTTGGAATCTTGAACACCCCAAAGATGAATCAATATAAAATTAAATATACATGTGGTCAATATAAAATTAAATTTATTAAAATATTTTTTCTGTGCTCATTGGCTATACTGTCAAAACTGTATGTTGTCAGAAGTTACTAGCCTAGTTACTGAGTGTATTGATGAGTTCAAATAGACAAAGGAAAAGGAAGATATTTTTGAGTTTAGAGCAACAAAACATCTGTGATGTGAAATAAATATTCATTATTATTTTGCTATAGCTGGTAACACAAAAATGAAAGTAATTTGTCTTAAAAGTAATTCACAGTTGCACAATGAGAGACTGAATTTCTTAAGAATATCATAAATCCATCAAATCGCTCACAAGATATTTTCAAGTCCATTCATGGAGGAATAATAATGCAGAGAGGATGTGATTCTCAAAAGAAATATACTTTTACTTCTAAACAACTGTTGTCAGTCTTTCAATACTTAATAGAAATATTAAGGAGAAATGTAAATGGCAACCCACTTTATCAGACATTTTAGTTTTAACACATTACTGTTTAGAATAACTGTGATACAGCAGACAAATCTTTCTTTTTATTATAGCCATATTATATTTTCAAGGCTGGTCTCTAAGGAATTTCAGGCAAGTGGTTGTTGTGGTAACTAAAAGATGAATTTTCTATCAAATAAGTGCTGGAAGCTGCTATACAACAGATCTTTCTAATTGTTTTAATGGGCTTCCTGAATAAAGAAATTAAAATGTTTTAAAACTTATTCTCTTATAAAATATTATAATTCTCATACTTAAACCCTGTAAAACCTAAAAAAAAAAAATCAGCATTTAATGAACATGTTAATATAATTCTAAACTAAGATATTGCTAATAAAATAATTTAGTTTTTTTCTCTGTGGTTGGTCCTAATAAGCTGTAATATAAGTAGAGTGACTTACTTGTTCTGTTTGCCTAGGACTTTACTGGTTTCAAATAGAAATTTCTGTGTCCTAGAAACCACCTCATTCCTGGGCAAACTGAGATGGCTGGTCACCCTAGTCACAGGACATTTAAATACTTGTTGCCATAAATACAAGTAATACAAAATAAACCTGTCAGATTAAGTCTGGCAAATTAAGACAATCAGTGTGATTCATAAAAATTCAAATTCACGATGTAGGGGGTACATTGTTTTGTGTTGGTTATAAAAGTATAAGATTTGTATACAGTCTACTTAAACAGAAAGCAAAACAGAGTTAATTAACACTTACAGGTTATAACAATGACCAAAACTTAATAAGATACTTACCTTTGTAAAAATTCTTCAGAGCCACATATGCCTAGAAGATGATCTTTGGGATATAGTTGGTTATTTGCACAAAAATGTAGAATATCTGCAATTAGGTCTCTGACAAGATAATTAGCTAAAAACAAAGGTGAATGATAAGAGTCAATTGTTAGGAAAAAAAGGTGTGTGAATTAAAAAAAAATGAAGAACAGATTACATAGTCTTATAACTACCTAGCTCCATCAAGAGGAATTAAGATTTCAGGCAGCTTATTAGACTGGTTATATTTAGAGATATTTTTGAAAAATGTTGTTTGTAATTTCTTTGATCAATTGTTTTCATATACACAACAAAGCTAGTTATTGTTTTCCTGACATTACAATCCTTGGTATATTGTAGCTCTGCATAAGACCTATTCTATTTCAGTTACCCTTCGGGACTTAGGAAATACACTTTGGACTTGAGAATAACATATTTAGGCAAAGATTCCAGTGGTATTTTCTTCTTTCCATTTCCAACATAAATGAGACATGGTTCCCCTTCCAACACTACCATCATGATAAAAGAATTATGAATTAGCTGGAATAAGTATTTTCAGAGCATTTATATTAGCTAATTATCAAATTCATGAGGATCTTCAAAGAGTTTATGGAAAATATGTATTGTATTATGAAGAAAAAAACTACAAATGGACTTTAAAAATTTTTATGAGTCAAAATAAATTTGTACCTTAATTCCATTTTTCATAAACTTTTTGAAAGAACCCAAGATAGTTTTGACAGTTGACATATACTTATCAGTGTTCTTCAACTAAGACTGCCATTCTTTAGTTGATTTACATAGACAAATTATCTCACCTCTTAACCCAGTTTCCTCAAATATTTTAGGATTCAGAAAATAATATCCCAAAGTATGGTGCCTTGGAATGCTCATACTTTGAACTATAGGAAATTGTAAGGGCTCAGAAGGAACTCGGAAACAGTTTCTCAGACTCTCTCCTGTTCTCCTTTCTCTAATTGGTCATTCTCCAAGATGTGTCATAAAAACTAAAATTTTTCCTACTCAGTCATCCATAAGATCTAGAAATATTACTCTAGCCTTATCCTGCTTTGCTGTGTAGTACCTGACAATAAAGAACATCAATGGACTAACTTTTCTGAAAGTAGGTCATAAGACCCCCCATTCCAGAGGGATTATGCTCTGTGCCAGTGAGGAAGGAATACTACATTGAAATATCAAAAAGAATCTGCACAGACAGACCTTGATACACTCCCTCCCTCATTCTATTACTATTAAATAACAACCTTTTATCCAATTACATTTTTATATGGCTATCCATTCTTCATCAAACCTAAGCATAAGATGTACAGTTTTTCCTGGGTCTCGCGTCTTCATGTCTGCAGGCTCTGATGCCACATAAAACTTTGTATCAATTTGTTATACTTTTCTCTTGTTAACCTGTCTATGTAATAGGAATGTCCACCATATCCCTTAAAATGGATGAGAAAAAGTATCACACCTTTTTGTTCCTACCACGGTTATTCAATAGCAACGTTTATTTCTTTCAGAAATCTAGTGCGAGACTAAAATGAAAACATACAAACATTATTAATAAGTTTAAAAATGCTATGCAGTTGATAGTCACTATGAGATTTAATATTGGTATTAATATCAATAACTGTGAGTGTATGCAGTATGAAGCAGTATCTATATGCCTTGTTAATTACTTAAGCCAGCTGACACATGCTTTAGATGCCAGGGGTTCTGTGGAAACATCTATGGAACATAGGAAACATCCTGATCCTGGCTAGGTCATACAATGCCTGTTCTATATAATGTTTATGGCTTACACATTATCCTCTTTGATGTATACTCAGCTTTCTTCAGAGTTGCAGAGGAGCAGCATAAGTAAACTGGCTTGACCTATGATGCATAATAGGATGATACATGATAGAAACAAGGTCAAAAAATGTCTAAAGTCCTTATCTTTAACTATAGAACTGCAACCATATCCTTGAAAGCTTACAAACAGTTCTCTGTGCCTGGTAAAATGTGTAAATAAAGAAGCTCAGCTTGACTGAGCAGCACAGCTTGTCTATGTTCACCTCATCGGCTCTGTCTTCCTCCTTTCTCTCTCTCCTTCACAGCACCAAGCCCATAGGGTGAACGCTTACAGATTACCATCCAGAGAGATGTTACAAATGACTACTATTTTACTAAGAACTTACTCTAGTAAGTGTTATATATGCATTATCTGGATTATAGTATCTACAATATAGGTATTATATTACAAGTTGTAAAGATGAATTGACTGATTTTTCAGAGAAGCTGTGAAAATTGATAAAGACTACACAGTGTTAAATATTAAGCCAAGAGTCTAAGCAAGATCTCTCAGACTCTAGAGTCATGTCCTTAATAACTCTTAAGTCTCTGTAGTTTTCTTTTCCAGTGTAGGACTCACCTAAGGTTCTGTCTTGCACAGCTATATTATAGAATAGTTAATAAACATGTGCTTTCTTTATCCATCTTCTTCTGTGAGAATCAAAATGTAAACATACTATAGGATAAAGTCATTAGTCTTCTCATATTCACATTCCATAATTTCACCTTCTAAACTGTTACATGCACATGACATTTAATAGTGGCCAGAACTCTGCTGAGTTGTTGCAATGATGTTTGCCTATGAAATATTTTCCTAATTAAAAATGATGAATGTGATCTTATAGTCTTAGTCAAGCAAATGTAGCAGACTATACTGATGACCCTCAGCTAGCAAGAGTTTAAACAGCATACTGCAAATGGTGTTTGCTTGAATTACATCTGAAGTTGAGTGTTCACTTGGCTGTGTCTTCTTTTACCACCGTCTCTTCTGTTCAAGGGAAAGGATTTTGACCCAAACTGGTAAACAAAACGGAGTGGGTGTGCCGCTGCTTCCATGAAGGAATAGGGAAGAGTAAGTTGCTGGATTTAAAACTATAGGTTTCATGGTAGATTAAGGTGTCATGAAAGAAATGGTCAGAGAAACAAATGATAAAGATCATCAGAGTATAAAGTACAGTGGAAATGCTCTGATGTGGCGGAGATTCTTAAATCCACTGCAGTTTGAGAGTATTGATGGAAACAATATGAATTGAAGCTAGGAAAAAATATGGCCATAGGCAAATCATAACTCTAAGAGCCTTGATGAGGACAAGAGAGAATTTCCAGTATTTGATAAAAAGAAATTTTCTCCAAAGACACCAGTGTTGACTCATTAATTTGACTCTCCATTCCCAGAACTGCTTTGCTATGCTATATGGAGTACATATAAATTATTATTCTATTACATTAGCCTCTCCATTTTACATGAAAGACTCCATAACCCAAATTCTAGTTATTACTCCTTTACTGTGCTTTGGTTTTATATCTCCTACTACTTGTTTCATGTTATTCATTGGATGTTTTGATATTACTTCAAATTCAGTGTTCTTAAACCAGAAATCACTCTTTTCTGTTGAAGTCAACCATTGTGAGACTGTAAATCAAACTTCTCGCCCATATTATAAGCCAAGTACTGTGGCCCGTCTTAAATAGCTTTTATGCTTTGTTGTCATGTAGGCTACCTTTTCCCAATTTCTTATATTTTCCCTCTCTATGTAACCTTTCTCACTCTGTCAACCATATTGACTAACTTCTTATCGAAAAGGCTCCATTTGAAATGATTTAATTATAACACTCTACTCCTCAAATTGGGTTTTCCACCCATCTTTCCGATTCCTTCATGTCTCTTTTAAAATACAAGTGTCTTATCTTTCATTAAATCTTACTTATTCAACTGTGAATAATTTTTCTACTGAATTCCAGTTCCATTAATTAAACACACTCTCTTTTTTTATATTTAATACTCCTCACTTTAAGGATCCTTTCTGCTTTTCCCAAAAATGTTGGATTCCCATTTATTTTCCAAGAAAATCTCCCTTCATCTGTTCCATTTATTCAAGATATTACCCTTTCTTTCCTACCCTGTATTCCTGCCAACCTTCTTTAAAGAGTGGCTAACTTCTGCACACAGTATTCAGTGACTCTTTGATTCTTGCAAACTGATTTCTTCCAACTCTTTGCAGGTTCTGAGTAACTTCTTAATACACAACTCCATCCACAGACCATCTACATCTAGAAGATAGTCGAAAGTAAAGACACTGGAAGTGGAGCAGTGTGAATTTCGAAACAAGAACTAGGAAATTATCTACCATTAAAATAAATCCAAGTCTCCATGGTGGGTAATTCTGATAATAGAATGGAAAATTTCATTTAAAAACCTGTTCCTTTCAAAGCACTTCATTTTCTCATTGTTGGAAATACAGAGTTCTCTTTGGATGAATACTCCTCACTTTCTCCTACTCTTTATTTATCTAGATGTCATTATTTCTTGCTTCTAGCAACAACATAATAATAATAAAACATGAATAAAAATATTTCTGGAATCATTATGTGTCAGGAAGCAGTTTCCTATTGATTTGGTAGTAACTCATTTAGCAGCAACTACATGTTTAGTGAACTAATGTTTTGTTGGGGCCAGCTGGTGGTGTAGTGGTTAAGGCACTGGACTCCCACACAGCTGATGGCAGTTCAAGTCTGGGATCTGGTGGCTTGGAAATCATGCTGGGCATGTGTACATGCCTGAAGTCCTAGGAAGAGAATGGAGGAGAAGGGATCCTTGCATGGCTATCTCCCCTTGGGGGTGATTTCTCACTTTCCCTCTCACTGTCTCTCTCTCTCTCCCTAGCAAGCACATACACTCCATGGCAAAAACCTAAAAATAAATAAATAATTTTTAAAAAGAACTAATGTTTTGCAAAATAGTAGACTATAACAACAAAATAAGATATTAAGCAACATTAGAGATATTCTAAAACTTTAGAGAAGAATCATAAGGTGAGTTTGATAAAATATAATCTCTAGGATCCATCTCTAGAGAGTCTAACTCACTAAATTTGCTAATTCTGATGGGTGTGAGCTCCATGGGGCTAGTGCATTTCTCACAGCAAGAATAGAGATTCTATGAATCAATGCCTATTCTGACTCACAATTTATTTATATTTGAATGAAATAGTTGTTTGCAATGGATAGGAACAGACATTTTCACTTGTTTAACACCTTTATCTACAAATGTTTTGAAATTCAGTTTAAAAATATGTTGAAAACTTCCTATACTTGCTACTAAGTTACATAATAGGAAAATATTGTGGGATGAGCTATGTGAAGAGAGTTCTTAAAGACAGTAGCTTTCTCCTCTCCTACTCCAATATTAACAAAAGATTCCCAGCTGTTTTGTTCTTATTTCACCTCTGGGCAAAACAGTAAATAATGCTTTTTTTTTTTTTTTTAATGATTTCAGTCTGTAAATTCAAGGCTATGCAGCCAATGCTAGCTTTATGTAAATTTTTATGTTTATTTGCAAGGTTGCTTACCATCTGGCATAAAATGAAGTAGCTGTGTTGAGTTATCAGTAAAAATATTTATCTTAAACTTGGTATTAGGAAAAAGCGGATATGGAAATGCTGTGGTAGCGCTCCAGATCTTCCCAGAATTGGAATTATCATCAGTTGCATGATATGATTCTCTTATTCTGGAAAACACATATGAAAATAAAATACTTAGAAGAAGAGCTACAATATAGGATTTTAAAATATTGCTGATAATATACTTGTAAACACTTCATGCTGTATTTTGCTGTAGAAGAATTAAACATGGAAACAATCAGTCACTGGTTTGTGCTACAACGCTTCAAGCTAGCTCAGATGGGTAGCGATTACAATTATATCAAAAACAAGTGTAAGAGACTGGTCTTTAGGCTTTCCCAGGAGCATTTCTTTTGAAATAACTAAGAATATAGTGTCATGAAATAAAACATGAGAATTCACTCTGCTCATTATTGTTTGCTTCACTTACATTGCTTTTGATGCCTGAATTCCTTCTCTGGAATTTCTCTCATACCTTAACTTTTTCAAGCTGCAAGTCACTCCTTTTGACTCAGAAATTTTGGTGAATAAATTCTCTTTTTTTGTGTCAAATTTGCAAACACTATTCTTGTCTCTCCATTTCCTTTACATTTTACACAAATCTTTGAATTTTACACGAATAATTGAGGTAGACATCCTTTGTAAACTGAACAATTACTTATTACATGAGTCAAGAATTTGAAAAATAGTTTATCCTTGGGGCCTTGGAGAAAGGAGCCTTCAGTTTGAATCCAGGTGCTTTCACTCGTTAATGTTATGGCCAGAGCAAGTTATTTGGCTAATATCTTTGTTTGCATAAAAGAGAATAGGGTTGGGACCAGCAGTTGGAATAATGGCTATGTCGCTGGACTCTCATGTAGTGAACCGCGGTTTAAGTCCCGGACCCGGTCTCTTCAACTCACCCTGGGTGCGTGTGCGTGCGTGCCCAAGATCCTGAGAGGAGAATGGAGTTGAAGGGATTGCATTGTGGCCATCTCCCCTAGGGGGTGATTTCTTGCTTTTTGTCTCTCTGTCTTTCTGGCCAGCACACGTGCCCTATAGCAAAAAAATCTCTTTAAAAAAACAAAAAATGAGAGAATAGGGTCAGCCTTGTGGTTGAGGGATTGAGAGAGCCAGGTCTTTCATTTAAGTCTAATGTTGATTTGAATCTGGGCCCTGGCAACTTGAAAAACACACCAGGTGCATGTACATTTGTGCTCCAGATCCCAAAGGGATGGGAAAATGGAGATGACAGTATTGCAGGATGACTATAGTCCACTGGGGAGTGCATTCTTTCTTTGTCTCTCTGTCTCTCTCTCTGGTAAGGGCAAATAAAAAAATGAGAGTATTAATATTTACTTTAAAGGTATATTGTGAAAATTTAAAAAAGAAGAAATGTAAAAATTTTCAGAGTGTAAAGCAATATACACATAATTATACTAATCATAGTTTGATTTCCATAGAGCCATGCTTTAAGCCCATATGTAGAATATAATATTAAGATATTTAAAATGCTTTGGATATTGAATATGAAATCTTGTTTTTTTTTATGTTAATTATGCTGACATCTAAATTTTGAAGTGCTCTTCCTAAATGGAAAATTATACTCTCTACATTGATTTGTTGCATCCTTTGTAATTATTGTATTTCAACTAATCAACACGAATGCTAAAATAGTGCCAGACCCCTGAAGTAGCTTAGTCTCTATACTCATAGAGTCCATGGAAATTTTCCTTCAATGAGGTGGCTGACAGGTGGGTAAGTACACAGCTATCCAACGCCCAAGCTGCGTTAGTATTATCTCATGCAATGACCCCACCTCATAATTTCTGATTCAGTAGATACATGGAAGGTCCCTCAAACTTGTTCGACTCACATGTACTCAAGGAAGCTACTATTGCTGATTGTGGAACTGCATTTTGAGAATCCTTGCTCAAGACAAAATTATGGGCCACTCTCTCTAGAGATAAAAGATCCAGACTCCAGTTCTGGATAAAGGAACTTTGTGATTTAGCATTCATTATATGTTAAGATGTTTTTTGATGCATAAAGGATTTCAGCTTCTACCATTTTTTAAATTTTCTTTTTTTTTCTTTTTTAAGAGAGAGAGATTTTTGCTGTAGGCCATGTGTGCTTGATGGAGAAAGAGAGAGAAGGAGACAGAAAGCAAGAAGTACCCCCCCCAGGGGGGATGGCCACACTGTAATCCCTTCTCCTTTCAGAATTTGAGGCAAGTATGTATACATACATTACACCATCTGCTGGTCCTCAGGTTCTATCATTTTGAGATATTACTTTTTTTTCTTTTGAGAAGTTTTTGCTGTAGGGCACGTGTCCTCACCAGGAAGACAGAGAGAGACAGAGATACAGAAAGCAAGAAATTACCCCCCCGGGGGGATGGCCATGCCATAATCCCTTCTCCTCAATTCTCCTCTCAGGATCTTGGGTATGGACGCACACATGCCCAGAGTGAGTTTAAGCTACCGGGTCTGAGACTCAAACCTTGTTCAGCTACATGGGAGTCCAGCAACATAGTCATTATGCCAACTGCTGGTCCCTTGAGAAATTAAATTTAAAGTGCAAATTGATGATTCATTTTCTCCTCAACCTTTGGTGAACATCTATTTAGGGGTCAGGATATCTTATCACATTTTTAAACTACAATGTACCATAGTTCTTTGAAGATGGGTCTTTTTTTTTTTTTTTAGAGAGATTTTTGCTATAGGATATGTGTGTTTTCCAGACAGAGAGAGTTAGAGAGACAGAAAGCAAGATATTACCCCCCATAGAGGGTGACCATGCCACTATCCCTTTTTCTCTCTTCTCCTCTTGGGATCTTGGGCACACACTCACATGCACTAGTGTGAGTTTTAAGTCACTGAGTCCAGAACTTGAACCATGGTCAGCCATGTGGGAGTCCAACTATGTAACGGCTATGGCAACTCTGGTCCCAAAAGATGTGATTTTAAATATGTCTTAATGAGAAATAAAATTCAGCAAATTAGAAGACCTATTAAAGGAGTCATAAAAGGAAAATTAGTAACATATTCAAGTATGAGACCAGTGGGGGGCATGGTGGTTAAGGCCTCAGACTCCTACATTGCTAACCATGATTTGAGTCCCAGTCCTGGTGGCTTTCTCTCTCTCTCTCTCTCTCTCTCTCTCCCCCTCTCCCCCCCACCTCTGGTAAGCATATATGATATAGCAAACTTAAAAACAGTAAAAATAATAATAAATAAATAATTTAAAAATAACATATTCACATGTTCTTATTTAAATATTAGGAAAAAGCAGATGCCAATAGATAAACAAATCCATCCTACTATGGTTTTACAGAAGTTTTGGAGAGCCTTTTATGAATCTTGGCTTTGAAATTCAAGTTGATCTTCTTTTGAGTTAAGAGTGCCTAGTACAATGGCCAGCTGTGGTGGCACAGTGGTATGCAATGCTCTGTGAATGCTGGGACCATATGGGAAGGTCTTGGGTCCCTGTCCTGAGGTCTCCCTAGGAATGGAATACATGCACACTCATGATCGTGGTTATCTGCAGCTGGGGTTAAGACTGAGGCGTGGAGACTCTGTTGGGGGTGACAGTCTCTCTCTTTCTCCCAATCTCTCCCTCTTGCATGGAAGAAATAAATAAATAAATAATTTTTTAAAAATTGTACTTAGCACCCATAGGCTCTCAAAAGCATCTGTTGTTGAATAAATAATGTGTTTGGAGAGAAAAATAATTACATATATATATATATACACACACACACACACACACACACACACACACACATATATATGTATATATATGTAGTGAATCATTTTATAGATGAGTATTTGTCAATAAAAATCATAGAAAACCAAGAAGAATGTGAATATAACCTATGGTGTATTTTATTACTCTAAAGTTATTGTTGGTCTGTTTTCATTCTCATGGTTATGTTAGGAGAAACCACTAAGAAAAATTACATTTTAAGGTTTAGAAAATGTTCCATAAGTTACTGACAAACCTTCACAGAAAATACTTTCATGTCACTATTATACCCACAATAAGATTTCACCTAAGAATATAAAATTAGATTTTAAAAAAAGAGTCACTGAGGAGCTATAATAATAACCATTCTGCCCAGTGGAGTTATACACAGGAGTGACTTTATAGGATTAAGAGAGAGCATTCTCATGCTCAGAAGGCAGATATTAACATATTTTAAACTTGAAATGATAAATTTCTAGCAATGTTTGTCATGTTGTTATAGTGAATAGCTTATCCTATAAGAAACGGTATTTATAACTTTAGAAAATCTAATTTAGGAAACAAAGTTCCATTTAAAATACTCTTCTGTAAAAATTGAACAAAAATTAATTAAACATTGGATATTTTCATGGATTTAAGATGATCTGATTTGTATTTGTTTGTATGTTTTTTCAGTCCTTCCAATATTGTTTCTGGCTTTTTGAGGCAAGGACTGTGATTTTCAGTTGCTTATTTTAAATTTGAATATTTCCTATGTACAAATGAGTTATTAGGCACTGAGATAGCCTTATAATAATGATTACATAAATGAGTCAAAGTTTTAATCTCAAAATGATCATTCAGTAGGAAACTAAAGCTTATAAATAAATGTGCATTCACACTTGTATAAAAGCCAAGGGAACTAAAGTGTAAATGAATTATTTTTTAAAATTTCAGAACCTTAGCAATAGAAGAAATGTAATTCTATAAATTTCAATGGCTAATAATAAATTGGTCTTTCAAAAATAGTCACCTACCTTTATATCATAAATTAATTTTTTACATTAGCACAAAAATTAGTGATTTATTTTGAAATATCCCCTAGTTATCAAATTTGTTTGACAAACATTTGTTTGTTTTCAATGGAAAATATCAAACAAACAAACAAAATTTGTTTTCAATGGATGAACATCCATACATTTGTTTAATATTTTGGCATCCCATTCAAGTTACAATTGAGCTATTATAAGAAAAGCACTCTAAATTCAAAATAGATTAATATCCTAGGTAGAAAAGGTAAATTGGTATTAATCTGGGCCTGAGCCTGAAGAATCCATTGCTTTTATCATTAAATAAAAAAAATTAATTCACTGAGAAATTAATTCTCTGCAAACCAAACAACAAAGCAGTTTTAAATTTATGAAACATTCAATTTTAGCCAGGTTTTCAGGAGACAAAAGAACTATTTGACAATAAATAACAAAACAACAGAAGTTGGTTAATGAACTAATTTGTCAGAAACTTCTATATTTTGCTGTGTTCACAAATTACAAGATTTTTGATATTTTATATGCAAAATTAATCAGTTCAGTGATATAAAAATAGACACATTTATTTAGGCTCAGTAACTTCAAGACTTAATAACAATACTCACTTTTTCACCTTGTTGCAAAAGGAGGCGAGACTCATATTACTTCCCTGAGGTACTTCAGCTAGCTGAATGGAACAACCTATTGGCTTAAAGTAAAAATTGCTAAGTCAATAAAGGTGTAGACAAAAGATTAATACAATTGTACAATATTTATCTGCTTTAAAGGCTTATTCAGATTTTTTAGACATTTTTACTTGAAGTAATATTTATAAATAAAAATGAATATATCTTAAGTATATGAGTTTTGAAGAATACATATGACAGTGATATCAATACTCCAATGAAAATATAAAACAAAAACTTTTCCTTACTTTAGAAAAAGGCTTCCTTCCCCAACATCTTTCAGTATATCTACATGCCTATCTGATTACTACTGTTATTCAAATTTCTATCTCCAAAAAAATAGATTAGGCATATGTGCTATATTTCTGGCTTCTTTCACTGAAATGGATTTTTTTTTTAGAGAAATAAATTTATCTATGTTATTACATATACTGATAGCTTATCTTTTATTTTTATTTTTCCCACTAATTAGAACTATTACCTGTGTGACTATTCTACAATTTGTTTGGCTATCTTCCTATTGAATGTTTGAATTGTTTCTAGCTTTAGGGTATTGCAAAGAAAACTAAGCTTTTTTTAAATTTCATTTACTTTTAAATTGTCAATCACATTATTTAGCTTATAAAGTGAATATTTTAACATGTGAACAGTTCTCCCTAGTCCGGTTGACTAAACTATAAAATATCTTTAACAGAAATTGGCACGTTTCTTTAGCCCATTAATGCTTTTCCTCCCCATTTTTCTTCTAATTGTTTTTCCTCAAACCCTACTCTTTTTTTAAACAAATAATTAGGTGCACATATGGTTCCTTTCTTGGAAATAGATGGGTAAGTCACTCAATTAGAGAGTTCATATGTATTATTAATTTTAAAAGAAACTATTTTTGCCTTATGTATTTTGAGGCTCTGTTATCAGGTACATTCACGTTTAAATTTAAATTGATTATCTCTTTATGATTAATTCTTTTTTAAAATTTTTAACTTGTTAGAGAGTGTGTGCACTTGTCAAAGGGTATGGTCACACAACAATCCACTCTCTTCCATTTCTCCTTTTGGTATTTTTGGCATTCATGCACATGTATCCAGTGTATGTTTCAAGCTGCCGGGTCTGGAGCTCAAACTGTGCAGTTGACCATGTGTGATCCTGTGGCCTTGACCACCAGTTGACCCCTGATTCTCTATAATCACTACAAAAAATGGCCCTTTCTTTCTCTAATAATACTGTTTCTTGAACTGTACATTTTTTTGGTATTAATGGCAACACCAGCTTCTTTCCCTCAGATTAGTGTTGTATCTTTTTTTCCCTTTTACTTTGAATATATTTGTGTCTTGTTTCTTCAGTTGGTTCTCTAGATAGTAACTGAGTCCTTATTTTTCTTTTAGTTTGTAAATTTTTGCCTTTATTTGAAATGTTTATTTACACCTAATGCATTTCTGAATGGTGTTGGAACTAAGACTGTCATATTTCTGTTTGCCTCTATTTGTGTCTTCTATTTTATTTTGCGTTTCTATTTCTCCTATTTTCCTCTTTAATGCAATTTCTGTTTCATTTCTGGTTTTCTTCTTTGTATTGCTTTTTAGTGATTATGCTAGCTCTAGGATATACAATATCCATCATAAATATATCGGTTTACTTAGCATTAGTATTGTACTACTGCATTAATGATGTACAAATTTACGATAGCAAAGTAAGATTTACCTCATTCCCACTCTTTATGCTAATGTTGTCATACATTCTCACATACATACACAATAAATCCCATAAAAACATATTATTGTGCTTGACTTGGTTGTTTTCTAAAACATTAAAATTACTCTTTTGTATATCACCAGCATACTTAACCATTTCTCTTACTGTTCACTCCATCCCAGATGCCATCTTTGGATATTTTCCTTGTACCTGAAGCATTTACTTTGGTATTTCTTATGCACATGTTAGTTGATTAATTCTCTCAAGAGTTGTTTATATGGTTATGTCTTTATTTTGTTTACAATTTTGAGACATAAACTGAAATGTTTTCATAGATACAGAAACATGGGCATAAAATTTTTTCATTTAAATAACTTAAAAAATAAGTTAAAAAACCAAGTGTCTCTGGTTTCCATTGCTTCTAATAAGTCTGATTTTATTCAGATTGTTGTTCTTCTCCATAAAGGTTTTTTTCCCTTCTCTCCCTCTTTTTATTATTCTCTTTACCTTTGGTTTTCAAATGTTTTAGGATAGTTATCCTTTGGTATTCAAGGAGGATTTGTTCTAGGATCCCTATAGTTACCAAACTTCCTTCCGATGCTCAATTCCTTTATATAAGATGTTGGTCATTTGCATGTAACCTATGCACATTCTCTTGTATACTAGAAATCACCTCTAGGTTACTTATAATACCTAATACAGTGTAAATCCTATGTAAATTGTTATTATAATGTATTGTTTAGGGAATTACAAGAAAAGAAAACTTTATATATTCAATATAGATACAACCAATTTTTTTCAAATATTTTTAATCCAACCACAGTTGGGGATGTAGAATCTATGGAGAAAGGATTGACCACATGTGATTGACTTTGTATTTATTATGTTTGAGGTTTGTTCAGATTCTTACATCTTTAATTACATATTTTCTGCCGTATTTGAGAAATTGTCTGGCCCTTATTTTTAAAAATCAATTTTCCTCCTTATCTTTCTTCTCTCCTATTAACATTCCTGGTTTCCAAGAATGATGCTCCTTATCTCACAAATCTTTGAAACCTCATCATTTTCATATGCTCTCTAACTTTATCTTTGCTGTAGTTAATTTTTATTGGTTTGTTTTAAGTTCACTATTTCCCCCCTGTTATTTCCTATCTGTTGTTAACAGTCAGTGACATTTACATTAAAAATATAATTTTACGGGGCCAGCAAGTTGCATGGTGATTAAGGTGTTGGACTCCTACATGGCCAACCATAGTTCAAGTCCCAAACCTGGTGGCTTGCTTTCTCACTTTCCCCTCTTCTCACTCTCTCTGTATCTTTGGTTAAATTAAAATAAAACAATAATAACAAACAAAATAAAATAAAATAAATAAATAATTTTAAATATTTTTTAGTACTAGAGATTCCTCATTGAACTACATATTACAAACACTACTACCTGCTGGTCCCCAAATTCTTGCTTCTTGACACAGATATGTATTTGTTATTATACATTGGATATTATAAATGACACATTGCAAATTATGTTTTGTTCATTTATTTATAAAGTATACAGTTTTTCTCTGGCAGGAAATTAAGATGCTTTTGGTATTGTCAGTCCTTTTTTATTGAACTGTTAGAGAGGTTTTTGCTATAGGGCTCTTGTGCTTGCTAGAGAAACAGAGAGAGACAGAGAGAGGTGAGAGTGAGAAATAACCCCCCAGGGGGTTGGCCACACTCTCATCTCTTCTATTTTTATCTTGGGGTTTTGGGCACACATGCACACATGCCTGGTATGAGTTTTAAGCCACCAGGTCAGGGACTTGAACCATGTCAGAGTCTAGAGACATAATCATTATGCCATCTGCTGGTTCCACTAGTCCTGTTTTTAAGAGTCACATCTGTTTTGGTTGATGTAGCATTTACTTTAGAGCTAACTCTTACTGTTAATCAATGGCTCTGTGGAACCTTGTTTAAATGCCTGAGTCCTCGGTTCAGTCTAATCTCTAGCTTGGACCAAACACTTCCACTAGCTATTCTATATCCTTTGTGTGCTGAATACAATGGACATCCAATTCTCAGCCAGCAGCTGAGAATATCTACTAATTCTTGCAAGAACATTTCCAAATTTAGCCAAATATACACAGTTAATCTTGTGTACACCTCTGACCCCCCACCCATCACATAGTCCCTCTTCTCCAGGGCTCTGCCCTGTAAATCACAGCTGCTTCTGCAGGCTCTGTCAGCTCAGTGATGACTGCTGCTGAAACAGGGCTCCACCCATCTGCAGAACAGTCGGGAACTGCCCTCAAGCAAAAACCAGGATGCTCACAGAGCTCACTTTTCTCAAGGATCAATGTCCTATACTGCCTGTTGTTCAGCATGTGAAATCAGCTGTTTCCTATATTTTGTCTAACTTTGTAGTT